ACCTTAGGCCTAACCACTTCATTTTGTGAAACAGATATCAAGACTAAATCTAGTTTTGTGTGTTTCTTACAAGTGTTATTGTCCTCCTTGACTAGTTTTGGTGTGAAAATATTTTCAGTGCTACTTCTCTACTTTCACCAATCTGATAATTTTAAAAATTAAATATAAGTTTGACAGGGAAATCAATTAGTTGCATATTAAATTATATATGTTATATAATATTTTAATCAAAAAATCATAATTGTATAATATTGTGAGACACACTTGGAGAAAGTACTACTTTATGTCTGACTTTTTTTCCTTTGTTAGCATGCCTGGTTTTAGCATTTACTGGAAGGGGAAATGCATGGCAAACTTTCATATTCTGACTGATTCAAAACTTGATACACAATATAGAACAGCAGTTTATTCTTAAATATGAATTTATTATTAAACATAATATCATTATGCATATTAAAATCACTAATAAATACTTTGCTATTTACATCAACTTTTATATTAATCCATGCTGTGGTTTTAGGATGTTAAATTATCGCATTTATAAATCATTTATTCAAGGAAGAATTATTTATCAAAATGTAATTGTGGAAAAATAATCTTTTTGAGATTGGTTTCTCACAAATCCTATGACAGCAAACTAGAGGAATATAATTGTCCTTCTCTTTCATTTCTCAGCAGCTTTGAGACTGTAGTTTGTTATTTTACCTTGCAGCATTTTTCTAGTATATACAGCAGATATTTCCTCAGCACGCTGCCTGGAGAAGGAAATGGGAATTTAAAAATGAAACCTTCCATTTTACAAAATTGATATAGACCACACAGTAAACTCAGGTAAGTACTGAAAGTACCCACCTCATGTCGTTACATTATGGATCAGAATGCACAAGGTACCACTTGTGGGTGAAAGTTGCCCCCTACTGTCCCATATGACACTTGCATACAGAATTGTGATTCACAACATTTGAGATTCGTCTACTCTTTCTTTAAAGGACACGTTTTAATTCTAAATTTTAGAATTTCATGTGGGTGTATGGTGCATGCAAGATCAGATGTTACAGGAAGAAAATGACCTCAAAGACTGCACTCATAAATGCCTGTTCTTGTTAAATACTAAAATTAATTGATCTGTTTAGTTTTATTTAGACCTGTACCTGAGTGTGAAGCAGATTTTGCCTTTAATAACTATATATATGTATATATATTTTTGAAAGAATTATATTGAAATGGCCTTATTGTTTTTCTTCCTTGTTCTTTGCAATGGAAATTTCATGGGTTTCTACACAGTGGGACTCTACCATTTAATGTCACAGTGCTGAATGAAAGGTGAAAAGCCAGTTAAGGAGGGGAAAATAGAGATTACAGACATAAGGAAAGAAATGTGTAACTAACAAAAACGTTACTGAGATAATACTTAGTGTTTCATTCCATATATGTAAAATGTAATTTTGAGGGAATCTCTATCCATGGTAGTGTTAAGAACCTTTAAAGGGATTATGTTTAAAATATTTGTTTTCAGGGTCTATTTAGTTGCTGCAGACTACTCCTTTTGGACCTCTTATTTCAACTGTACAATAATTGCAGAGTATCATTCCATTTGAGAAATATTTTTGTTTATACAAATAGCTGTAGACATTAAGAAAGAAACAATTATATGAGTTCTTAATTTTTTACCACCTTTTCAGAAAACTGTAAATTCCCTTTTTGCTTATCCCTTAAATAGTAGTAGTTAGTTCAGCTGAACTACCTATGGATGCTTTCTAAGAATTTGTCAGCAAAGCAAATTAGCAGTTCAAAATCCTTACATGCATAAATAATTTAAAGACCGAGGAGAAATTAATCACAAACGCCAAACCTCTGGGAAGCTTGTAAAGCATTGTCCTAGTCACAATGTGAGTATCTGTCCCTATTTACACTGCACAAATGATACTTGAAAACAGCTACAGTGGTAACAAAACAATTGCCAATGTTTATGCTTTCAAATTATGTCTGTCAGAACAATTTGCATGTACGGATCTTAAATGATTCAGTAACAAATGCCAAACATAACTTTGTAACAGTAGACAACTGGTATTACATTGATATTATTAACATTTATTACGTTATTATTTTTAAGTTTTAGATCCCAGTTTTGTTGGATATTTTTATGAAATAGCAGGTTTTTTTCAAATCCAATCTTTGATTTGCAATTTCCAACAAGGAATCCTTAAAGCACTTTACAAACTGTGTAGCACATAGGAATCATTTTGAAAAGAGAAACTGTAGGGAAAAAAAAACTGCCTGGAGGCAGTTGGTGGGAGTTGAGGATCTGTCAATGGCAAAGTGGCAACACAACTGTACAAGGACTGAGATTGCAGGGATAATGGTGTGTTTTTGAAGGCAACACACATTCTTTTCCTCAGTCCTAGTACCTGTTGCTCCTGTCGGTGCTACTTAACTTCTATAGAGAACCCATTTCTCTTTTTGAGGATTCATTGGCACTGTCAGGGAGATATCAACCAGGAAGCAGCTTCTGCTTGGATGTTGTGCTAAATGTTTAAGCTCTGCGTGCCTACAGGGGACAACAGGGAAAGCTTAAGGAACAGAAATCCATGGAGGCTTAAATACTTAGAAGAATACTTCTGAGCCACTTGTGGCTCAGAAATGCCCTGAGCAGAAAAAGGGTAGAGGGTGAAAGAATGTTAGGAGGATGTGTTATGTATTCTTTCCCTGCTGTTGTTATTTAGGCACTCTTAGTGACTTCACAATATAAATTATAAGTCATTTATAGCAGAACATGAACTTAAGCCTCCCGGTTTTTAGGCCTCCTTCTTCATTGCTCAAAAGAGCTCTTAGTATATAATGCGTTCAGCACAGCCCTACTTGGGACAACAGTACAGCAGACACTTTTAGAGTGGAAAAAGAACAGAAAGAAATTGGGAACTGCCATCATGAAAGCTGAAGCGCAATACAGGTCCTGTATTCTAACAGCTCAAGTTCTCTGTTCTTGAATTCCTTGCAGTCCAGAGGTCATTAACTGCACACAGTTTGAAGTTCGGGGTCACAGTGGAACTTAACTATTCTGTAACCCAGTAATCAAATTATCACTCTGTGGTTTGCTGACTTGCCACTCTCTCTGTTATTCAGCCACTATTATCATTTCAAGAATTTAGTGTTTACTACGCTTTAATATATCTGAAAATACATACTTGAACAAGCAACCACTGTGTTGCACAAGTTTGAACTTCCTCTCATCCAAACTGTGATGTGGTCCCCAAATGTGCAGTTTATCCCAAACATGCCTTGTAAATTTATCTGTGTTGAATTTACAAACAAAAACAACAACAGAACCGTCATATTTATAAGGTTCCACAAGCAGGGTCAGATCAAGTAACAGATCTGAGTCAGTATTTCTGAAACAATGTAGAATGATCAACCTAAAAGGCAGACATCCGGCAGTATTGCAGATGTCTCTCTCAGAAAAAGAAGGAAAAAAAAGAAAAAAGTACTTTAATCCTAGAAAGTTAAAGAGAAGTTGACAAGATACTTGAAGAGGAGTTATTTCCAAAGTGTAGGGTTTTGCTTTTTGCAACATTTAGTGTTGTAGTTCAGATTTTATCATGTGTGTGAATCACAAAGTCACTCTTTAATTTCACTTTTATATTGTCACCTTTACATCAAATGTTATTGAGTTCATTGCTCTTCTTGTGGCACCAGCATTGTTACCAGCATGTGTTATCTTGTCTGTATCTACTGTGTTCCTGTTGATCAAAGTGCCCAGAAGTGAAACCCTACCATTAGTTTTGTATAAAGCTCTGGATATTTCAGACAATAAAGTTCTATAAATTTAAAAGCATGTACTAATATGCTGTATAAATGCAAGTGTGATATAGAATATTGACTTTTGTATTTTCCTCTATATTTTCACCCTGTAGATTTTCAGCCTTAACATATGCCTTAGCTGCTGTAGCACAGAACCTGACTAAATTCTTCTATTGATTGTGCCTTGGATCAGCATAAAAGCAGCAACAAACAGAGATATTACACTGGGTAATTTGAAGTATCCCAGAGAAAAGGCTGATTTTTCCTTTCTTTTCAAATGTATGGCAAGGCAAAAATCCATCTGTCAAAGTAATAACAAGGTCCTGTTTAAAGAAACAAATTTCTAGTTGTGTCAATACATTTACTGTAGTTTCCTATTAAACCTTGTTGCAATTTATTTCCTTCTGCTCTAGATGCAACATATTTGACTGAAAAGTAGTTGCAGTAATGTGAAGTTTTCTGGAAAGTCATGAATACCTTATGTGAGTGGAAATGTGTTCGGTTGCCTGTTGCTCCACAGCCATTAATCTGATGAATAAAGAGTTTGCACATGGGTTCACTCAGAGAGTTAACATCTGATTTTACGTGGAAATGTTTAAAAGAAAAAGTACAGCATAGCCTGAAGCCTGTTAGATAGACTTTTAGAGATTTATTTAATGCAGTTTCTTGCTTTTGTTCCTATTGTCTACTTAGAAAAGAATGTTGTTTTGAAATGTAAAATGAAATAAGGGGAAACAATTCAAACAGCATTTCTACTGGACAAAAAAATCCTTTACTTCAAACACATACAAAACCTGTCAGTTTTCATTACTCATCTGTTCTTCTACTATTTCATTATCATCTACATTAAATCAGATGATTCCCCACCTTTACACTGGTGCTTTGGAGATAAAATAAAGGGGCACGAACTATCTTCATTTATCAGCATCAAATAATATCAACATTTGTACTGGGATAGTATTTGTGTCAATAACTCATTTTTAGAACAAATAGAATTAGTAGCTATTATTTCTCTCTGTGGAGATAAATGCTTGATGCAGGAGCTACTTAGTCTTTAGTTACAGGGCAATACTGCATCTCTTCTTGATCTAAAAGGGATTCCTGTTGAATTCAGGAAATCTTCAAACATAACGTGTGTCCCTGTTTGCTGCTTCTGTTATTGTTTTTGAATTTATTGACTCTGTTTACCTATTACAGTGCACTGGATATGGATGATTGGAGTAATACTTGACTGGAATTTCCCCTGCTTCTTCCTATAATGTTTTTAGTGACATTGAAGAGACTTGGGACTTGAAGGTAACTTTCATGCAGTCAGAAATTGGATTGCTTTGATAAAGAGCATGTCATATTGTGTTCATATTGTGTACTTGCCTCTAAAAGCAAGACTAGGTGTGCCACTGGAAAATATTTTTGCCTTCTCCAAATTGTTTATTGAAGATGCTCTTTGCCTCATTTTTTTTTTTTAAATCTAATTTTAGAATATTTTTTTACTTGAAGTAGTAAATTATCTAAAAGCAACTTAATTTTGATACAAAAAACTGCATGTATTCATCTCTTCTGTGTCCAGTGTCACTGGTCTAAAATCTGATGCTTGCTCATTTCTAAGTGAATTCAATTCCTTAATACAGTTGTAAATACAAAGGTTTTGGTTTTGTTTTGTTTTCTCGTTATTGTTGCTGCTGCTGTTTTTTAGCGTTAAATCTGCTAATTCCTACAGATTTTCTAGTGAGAAGTAGCTGGGAACTATGCTCAAATGGCAGCTGAGTGTCCTTAGATTATAAACATAATGTTCATATTCTGACCTGTGCTCCATCAAAGAGCCCAGCTGGCCCACGTGCCCAGCAGGATAGGCCAGGGCTATTTAGATAGTTCATGACCAAATACAGAGAGCCAAAGGCAAGAAAATGAAAGCTTATTTCTTTATTTTTAGCTACTCCTACAGATAGCAAATATTTACTATACACAAAAGTCTCACACCCTTCAGACACCACTTGGAATGTTTGGCTGTGACTTGTCTTCTAAGAAACTTCCATAGGAAACTTTCCTTTTCTTGCCAAATCTTCCTGTATTGGAACAAAGCTTGTTTCAGAGCAGGCTTTGCCTTCATTAAGCTTGGTTATTAACTTTGGAAGATTACAAAAAGGTACAGGCTGTGTAAAAAAGGGGCTTTGTTGGCCGGCTGGAGGGTGAAAAATAGAGCCACAGATTGAATAAGAGTGGAGAGTAAAATCAAACTGTGAAATGAAATGTTGGTAAGGGAAAGGCCTCTAAGAGCTGCAGTCACAAGTTATAGTGCAATCTTTTAATAAGATGATGTCTCCAAAAGTGAGTTATTTCAAATGGGTCATCATTGAATTGAGATGAAATTAATCCTATTATATTTCTTTACCTTGTGTCTGAGAGATATAGCAATAGGTACATACGCTCAGGATGTATTTTTTAAATGGGATATTGACACTTATCAGCTGCCTGAGAAAGCTTCTATCTCTGCTCCCTTGATTGATAGGAAAATATGCTGTTTGCAGATCATATCCTGTTCTATTATGAAACTGAATTTACTTAAACTTGGCTTTCCAGAAATTAAATGCTCCTGAATGAATAAAACCAGTGTATTTAAGGAGCATTTTGATGAAGTAAATTCTTTAACATCCTGATGTATATTGACCAGAACAATGGAGGCACATATGCCCTGGAGTTAATGCATGGATGTGTGTGGCAGATGCAAGGCCTGCATATGGATGTTAAAATCCACATCAAGGCTTGTATCAACTCAGCATGATACAGCAATTGAGAATGGCTGTTTGTAGAGCTCTGGTCAGCATTAGCAAAAAAAGAAAGCAGGGTTTGCATTCCACAGTGGTGGTGTAAGTCAGCCTCTGTAAACCTTCCTTCATGTGGGTGCACATCATTCTTTCAGGCACATCCTTGGTTTAGACTAACTGTGACTCACATGGATAATGTGTTAATCTGACAGCTAATGTTGGTAAAAAATGGATTAACTACTATGTACACGACAGAAAATATCTATCAAAAAGCATGATTTTGCTTTTCAAATACTCTGTTCCAGTGCACTCCTCCTTTGTTCAAGGGGGTGATCTGCTCATCAAAAATGGTTTATACTTGCTTTTACTTCTTGAAGAAAGGTGGCTCCTTGTTGCCATTTTTATTAGAAAACTTTTTGAGTTTTTTTTTTCCCAGTAATTTTTGTTGACATTTTCATATAATCACAGTTAACTATCTTGCCCACAAAGCTATTGAGGATGCAAAACCATCTGTGAACCATGGCCTGCAGCTAAATACTTCTCAAATCAGGATTAGCAGCCTCCGTTTTGTTTTGTTGTTTATTTTTTTTCCCAATTAAAAAAATGCATGTGTCCTTAAAGAGAGGATGGATTTCTGATTAACTGAAAATTATTAGCTTGGTCTGTAATTAAATGTGAAAGTAATAAATCTTACTTTCAGAAGACACTAACTTCTGCAGTGTATTCTTCCTAATAGGGTCTGAAGTAACGTGTCAAGAGTCTCACAAAACACATTATAAAATAGGAATGGGGTAAAGGTCATTCCACCTGCTGTGGCCATACTAAAACTAGTCTTGTTGACTCAACTGAAATATATAAAAAAGGTAGTTTAGGGCAGAAGGTTGATAACAATACTGAGGTATTTACCTTGTATCCTTGGAAGCAGCAGTATAGATAACTACAAATAGTCATCCAAAAGAGTGAATGTAATTAAAGAGATTTAATTGACAAAAAGAGATTTGTCTTCATGACTACCATTCAAAACTTTCATCTTCTAGAGCTATTAAAAATGGAAAAAGTTTCTAAGGTGTTATCATACAGATACATTATAAAACTCTGAGTCTGTTATACAAGTATTGGAGGTAGCTGTTGCAACACTTTTATTTTGTTGCAATTGCTTCTGTTGCAGTAGTTTCTGAAGTGAAAATAAATCCCAGTTTAAATTTTCTGTTATCTTTTCCAGTAAATACTGCAGTGTATTGGTTGGCATTTTGGCTATCAAAAGCTTTCTTGCACAAGACTGTGCACATCCATGTGTTTGGAAATTTGCTTAAGTATTCACTGCCAAGCAGAGTTTTTGTTCTTCAATAGTGATCAGATATTAGTTTGACTGTGTGTGGAAATGTGCAGTAAATCAGTGATGGATTTTTCCATATGTCTTGCATAAAATCCAAAAGTGGTTTATCTAATGTAAGCCAGAACACCAGAAAACAAATTATAATATCATATATTAAAAAAGGCCTTAGCAGAGTTATGAAACAAATAGATAACATAACATGTTGATCTTAATAAAATGAACTGTTTTAGTTGGAGGATTCTTTTATTTGGCTAATGAATTTCTCGAAACAGGAGATTATCTTGTTACACCTAATTATGTAACATTTTTGCTCCAGGGTTTAAATGCTGCAGATAAATGATTCAGTCTGGGGGTCAACAAGCACCCAAAGATGCTGCAGGTAAATCCAGTTTCCTTACTTTTCATATGTGGTCCATGTCCTGACAAAGCTCAAATAACTGCTCTGAAACACTGGAGCTCTAAGGGGAGTTGTCTGAACTATGTTGTGCTGGTTTAAATATATTGATTCTGTCACCACAGGACAGATCTAACCTATTTTATTCATTTTCTCTCTGCTCATTTCTATATTCATCTTTATAAAGAGAGAGAGTTAAATAGATCTCTTGATGTTAAACAGTATCTACATCTATTAGACAGTATTGTATAAGTGATTACAGATTAAACCAATAAATAGCTTGCACAGGAATTTGTTGGGCATTTTTTGGACAGGTTAGCTTTTAAAAGCAACTTGATTTTATTTTAATCAAGTAGAATCTGAAAAATTGTATTTAAATAGAACACATAGACATCTTTGATATTTCATACAATATAGCTTGGAGCATAGTTCAGCATCTGGATAGACTAAATTTAATGTAATTCATCTGTACAGACTGCTTTTCCTTGAGTTAAAAAAAAAGAAATCATATGCCAAAATTACCAGATACCTCTGTCTTATGACTGAATAAAGAAATTAAAGAAGCTAAAAAGAGGTATTATCAGTCATTTAAGGAAATTTTCTGAGTGATGAGAAAATAACTTTTAGCTCATTGTTTTTCAAAAAACCCATGTCCCTATAGACAATTTTGTCTTTTATAAATGGCTACAAAAAGTTGGTTCCAAAACAAGGCAAATTAACAAAATTTAGCTGCAAATCAGTATAGTATATTCTTAACCTTAAGTACACTTACAGTCCAAGTCCAACTGAAATAAACAATTTATAATAAATCAGATATATCGTATTTATCTTCTGATAATCCATTACCATGCAATAACCCTAGATATTCCCAAGAGCTTTTAGTATTAACATAACATGTTAATTGAATCAGCAAATAATTTTCAATCTGAAAATCATCTTCATGGCAATTACTGATATTAAATATACAATTTATATGAAATTCAAAGCATGTGTAATTGACCCAATTGAAACAGTAGTTTGAATTCAACTTCTGTGTCTATATTCAGTGTATGTGTATTGAACGTGGAAATACTGGCTGGTTCAAACTAGGATACCTGTCCCATTACTATGTAAGATGACATGGACTGGTAACTGTAAAACTTCACTGCACAATCAGAAATTCACTTTCATGAACATGTGCTAAAAAAATTCTTTTTTGCCAATTGCGCTTGTAAAACTGAGTTTCACACATGCTCACCAGAAGTTAACCTCAGTCTCAAAATAAACTCATGTACCTATTCATTTCACATAAATTAAGGCATATAAAATATTTGTAATTGATAGTCATCTTTCAAATCACCTGTGGTTTGTATGTATTTGAGTGGTGTTCAAGAAGCTATGCCCTGTGAATATAGAAGGTAATACACAGGCTTGTAATTACAATTAAGCTGTGAACTTTCAGAGGCAGTGAAGTGACCCAATCCTATTCTAAATTGCAGCACTGGGTCCCTATTTCTACTTTCTACCTGTAAGTTGTGCTGCTCTTTCCCTTTTATCTCTCAGACTCTCCAGAGTGACCTTTGGCCATGTGAACTTTCTGATGCAGCTTTTAAAACCAGTGAGAGTTGCCAACTATGATTTAAAATTAAAGTTTTCACTAATATTTAAAAATAAAATAATAAGAAGAAGTAGTAGTGTTCTAAAACTGTTAGTGGTTTTTCCAGTTTCCCCTGTTCTGTTCTGGATGCCAACCCAATACCAATAGTCCTTGCATATGTATTTTAACTTCCAGAACATCAGTGATAAGTTGTTTCTTAAAGCTTGAAACAGACAAAGTATCCTGAGAACTGTGAAAGAATGTATTGTTTTGATATTTCTTCTTATTTGTTTTGTTCTGCTGCAAGTAATCAAGAAATACTTTATTTTTTAAACAAGTGATTTACAGGAAGGAAAGGATTAATTATACTGATGAACCCTGTATTGTTAGCCACAGTAATAACAGTAGACATATTTTACTTCTATAAATATCTCCTCTTTTATCTAACATCTTTGAGTCAGATGGTGCTGAGATCCCTCCTTCTTCACTAAGATTCCTACAATCCATATTTCAGCAGTATGTTTTATATGTAATACAATAAAATCCACAAAATGTGCTGTTGCCTTGCTTTTTAGTACAGTAGCATCCAGTTATGAAAGGAATAATGGGTGCAGGGGATAAATAAGACTAGTCAGGTTTGGATTTCATTTTCTAAATGAATTCAGCTGGCCTGACAGCCCTAGAGGTGCCCTTAAGCAGAGAAATTGTTAGAGAAGGTTAGATTAGGTGATAATTGCAGGACAGAATAAAAGTTGAACAACTGCTTTTCTTTCTTTCTGGATTTTTGAGGAGAGCTGAATCAGTTTGGCATATTGAGAAACCAGAAAAACAGTGGGGCTCTCACTTTGCTTGTCCTGAAAATTAAAATCTCAATAAGTAAAAATGCTGAAAAGCCTCTAAATATATTCTATGAAATTCCAAACTTGTATTGCCAAGAGGGTATTTACTTATGTTAGGGCTCCATCTACAGTCACGAGGAAGCAAATCTTACCATCGATGGCAGCTCTCTCTGCCTCTGTGACTTCATTGATTCACCATGTTTACCATGATAAACTCTCCTTTTATTGAGGTCAGCACACTTCAAGCTCTTTGCAGCCACAGTTAAGGTATCTGATCTCTAATTATTTCCAGTAAAGAAGCAGATAAGGTTACATTGACTATATGTGCCAGTATTCCTGTAGGATTGGCTTAAATGTCAAGTAATTTTATTTTCAGAAGGTTAGCAGGCCCAGACAACATTATCATAGTATGGCACTCACACATTTGTAAAATTGGTAGGATTTTTGCCGCCTCACTATTTCAGTTTGAGAGGCTCTTCAAGAACATCATTCCTCAGATGATGAACACTATCCCAGTACTCACAGTCTAAATGTATTAATGGGCTTCTGGTATTCTTTTCATTTTAAGCCACCATTGACCTTGAGTTAAAATAGACTGGATGTAATAATCCTCAGCCTCAATTTCTGATAGCATATAGAAATAGTTATGGTACTACAATGCAAGTACATAACTCAAAGAGTGCTCTTTTATTTGGTACTTTTTGCCATCAACATATGAATTGGAATTTGACTTGGGTCTTCCATTTCTTTGGAACAGTCAAACAGAGGTGAAGACAGTCACTTGTGAGGAATATGGAAGCTGAGCAGTAAGTGGAAGTGTGTTTATTTCTTTACTACTGTCCGTATGCTCATCTCTTGAATAATTAATCTTATGTAAGTGAAAACATGCAAACAAAAACACCCAAATCTTGTCCTTCAGTTATAAAACAAGTAGAATTGGGTAGTAAATCAGGGGAAATATTTAAATAGCAAAAATAGCAATAAAAATGTCTAAACCTGTGACAATACATGGCACTGACATGGTTTACTGGAAGTCTCACTCTTAAGCAAATAGACACATAAAGTGGATGGGACAAAGCTTGAAGGTACAAAAATCAGTCTCACAGTTTTTTATCTAAAATTAATGTGTACCAATGACAGTTTAGCTACCAACTGCACAATAGAAGCTAAGAAAAGCATGGAAGGTATTTGCTTGAGCATGACTAAGCATATTAAATAGTGTGTTGTTAAAGAATGTGACAACAGTGGTAACAAAGGTTAACATTGAACTGTCTGATTAGAAAAGGAAAACTAAGTAACTGAAATAAAAGATAAACAAATAATTATTTTGGGAGTTTTTTTAATAGTTAATCACTTTTTTAAAAAGTAGCACACACAAGAAATCCATTTCTCAATTTTTTTTTCTAAAATAAAGCTCACGCAAAGTGAATGTTTTCTCAGCATCCATTTGCAGCAACTCTCCATGCAGCTGCAGAAGTCTTGGCAATAGCTGTTGATGGAGGGCAAATTTGGGCTCTTACTTCCAGTACCTCAAGAGCAGTGAGATGCACTGCCTTCCCATTTACTGGAGGGCAGTGTACAGCAAGAGAATGCAGGGGTGATTAAGTGGAGCAGGTGATGGCACACTCTGGTAATCTGTATGTCAAAGTTATTATTTGCTAATGTTCTTGTGAATATGAAACAGGAATGGATGTGTTTCTGTTTCCTGAATGTTTGTGGGAGGTAAGAAATACAAAGGAAAAAAACAAGAGTTGCAAAACCATAACAAGCAGCTCTAGCAGATGCTGATAGAGGAATATATTGTAAAGAAAAGAGTGTTGGATGTTGGCACAAAAATATTTCTCTAGACTAGTTTCATTGCAGTGGTCCCCACTTAAATGAGGAACAGCAAAATTACTAAAGAAACTATCCTGTTAAAGTCAGAACTAGCGCTCCAAATCAGCAAGACTGAGCTAATGGAAGTTTGAAAGTTATTTCACCATTTGCCAGTAGGGGGAAGGGATACTTCTTTACAGTTCTCAGAGAGGCATAAAAAGCACCACAGCTCAACTAAAGAAAAAGTTTGCCATACTGGGTATTTGGTGAACTATAAGAAGTTCAGTAAAATAATTCTGAAGGGGGGTTCTGTTGTAGTTTGGTTTGGGGTTTTTTAACTCTTGAGTAGAAGACATCCTTAACACTGTGGCAGGTTTCTCCTGCTCTTCTGCAGTGGATTCTAAAAAAGATACTAGCAAATAGAAGAAAAGGTGGAAGACAAGAAAGAGCCTATTAGAGAAGGACAAGGTCTGTGGTCATTTAAAGTGATGGCTTTTAGTTATTGTGGTGTTGTGACACTGCATTTTACGGGCTTACAGAACATTATTACACTCTTTTTTTTTCAACCTACCTAAAATTTAGTTTGATGCATGCAAAATTTTGATGAGCAGAAACCAATAAATTTAAACACAGTAACCTTACACTATGAATTTAAAATTCAATCCAAAGAAATGTGACTTGATTTTAAAACAAGTCAATTGTTTTGAGCATACAATCAGTGAGGAGAAATTTTCACAATGAAAAGAAAGCTGAGGCTGTCCAATACTTGCCAACTCTTTGGATGCTCACATATGTTCAAAATTTTTAGGCCTCCTATTACAAAAAGTTCATTTGTAGGTTGGCCAGAACAGCAAAACCACTACATAAGTTGGGTACAGAAAGGAAACTATTTCAGTGATCAGCAGTGTGTGATTTAGCATACTGAGAGTCAAAGAGGCTCTTGTGATTGCTCCTGTTTTAGTCTCTGTGTGTTTCAAAACCCCTTTCATATTGTGCACAGCTGCTAACACTTACAGTTTGGGGATAGTGTTGACACAGGAACACAAAGGGTTTGAGATATTGCTTATTGCCAGGGTGGGAGGTCAGGGGGAGGACACGTGGGGGTAGGAGTTTTCCAAATCAAAATTCTTGCAAAACTGACTCATGACTATGGCTAAGGAGTATTTTCTTTGTTGCAAATTTATGATCAGGGCGGACTGTGCATCTCATTCAATGGTGCTGTAGATTCAGGTATTCTGAGGGAAACTTGCCAAGCAGTTACAGATCCACCACACTGTGCCAAAAACTGGAACACAATCATGTCGATGCTACTGTTGCATTCATACAGGGTTTGGATTGCTAGATGCAAGTATTTCCATGAACAGGAATGAGTGACCTTTGTAAAAAGAAAAAAAAAAGCCTTTTCTATTCTAGACCCGTGAGTTGCTGAAACTGAAAGTAGAACATTGAAATTTGTGCTACCTATGAAACTGTTTATTTGGGAAAGTATTTTTTTGAGCTATCACAATATATTGTTCACAATGTAAAATATGAATTATTCTACAGGAGATGAAAAACAGTTGATGATGACCAGGATAGGGCATATCTGTGCAGATGAACACAGTTGCTAGGTCTGATCACAGGACATATGGAAAGATGAACAGGATCTGACCCCTCTCAATGTGGGCTCATCTTAACTGTGCTCTTTAGACCTCCCCAGCAATGGGTACCTGTAACATCAGAATTTACTTAATCTTTTGGGAAAAAGGAGATAACATCATGATTTTTAAGCTGCTGGGCTGCACAAACCTTGGTATTATGCACATTATGCTTGGACCTGGGAGAGGTTCTCACAGTCTAGCAAATCTGGACACTTCTGCAAAATGGCCCATAAGAAACCAAGGAGAACCTGGTTGCACTTGGGCTGAGGTTAAAGACTTAAATTGTTTTAGTAAGTTTGTCAGGCTCTCTAGTCTTTCCAGAAAGACAAGTTGTTTGCAAAGGATCTCAGATCAGGAATTTAACCAAAGCTTGAATCACAAAAATCACTTTTTGGTGGAGTCATTTCTTGCTAGAGAGAGGAAATCAAGAATGCTTAGGCCACTAGGTTAAACAAAACCTTTACAAATACCCTCAAGGGATTTCATACAGTGTGTGGTAGTGAACTGAAAAAATACTGTTCACATGGATGAAGCTCCTAAAAAGGAAAGTAAATTATTTGGATTATGTATAAAACCTGTAGATAAAAATCACATTTATTTCTGCAAGAATTAAAACGCTCCAGCAGGTAAGGACACTTAGCTGTACTCTTTATAATGCTTCCAAGCATGATTTTACAATCCTAGGAGAAAGAAAAGCAGGACTTCTTTGAGGAATCCAATAAAATACTGATACATATATATAAGAACTAATGGATGGGATACATTTGGTCCCAAGACTTTATTCTGAGTTGTTCATAAGGAATAGATGATGTGATAACAAGGATTTCAGTAAAATTGCCTCAATATAATGATTGTATGATGTGCTGACTAACAAAGACTTTGAAGCAAGAAGCAAAGAAACAATTTCCATCTGTTCAAAACTGTTGGGCATTCTTTGTAAATACACAGGATTAAAGGAAAAAAACACCTGATTTCGGCATCTGTTTCTTTTCAAAGGGAAACAAACAGAGGTTAGTAAACTTTTGGTTGTTGGAACAGTTTTGGTGGGTTTTTTTGCTTGTGCATTTTTATAGAACTTGGGTAAAAAAAGGGGGTAATAGTATGTCCAATAGGAACAACTTGGAACTGTGTTCATAAAGAACTTGAAGTCCTATCCAAAACGTGTTTTTCTGTAAAAGTCAGAAGAGGTGAAAAAAAAACCCCAAAACTTTGAACCTAAAG